CAGGGGGCGGGGTCAAGATTGGGTCTAGGGCTGGGCCTGGGGTTAGGCCAGGGGTCAGGGTCGGGATTAGGGCTGGGGGTCAGGTTTAGGGCTGCGATTTGGGTGGGGGTTAGGGCGGGATTAGGGCTGAGCGAGGGAATGGGATTGGGATTGGGGCTGGGATTGGGGCTGGGATGGGGGTTAGGGCTGGGATTGAAGTTAGGTCTATATGTGGGATTGGGGTTAGGGCTGCAGTTGGGATCCGGGCTAGGTTTCCATCTGGGATTGGGATGAGATTAAATACAGGACTGTGAGTATGTCTAAAACCAGACTGAGGTTGAAATTAGGATTAGGGTTAGGTCTAGTTTAGGGACTAAGCGTACACGCACCAGGACGGGCAGCTTAGCTGCTAAAAAATAGAGGAGATTTTCGCTGTGGGAGGTTGTGACGGGGCCTAGCAGCTGGTGTTGTCCCTCGTCAGGCATCACAAAACCTCGGCAAAACCTGGGGGTGAGCCGGGCGCTCCCAGCTCCCAGTGCTCCCAGCTCCAGGCAATCCCAGCACAGAGGGACTGGAAGCAGGATCCCACACCCGAGCAGGCACAGGGCGGCCATCCGTCAGCATCTATCAACGGCGAGAGGGAACCGTTACTCACCGTTAGTATTTCTCTGCTGTTTCTGGCCATGCTCTCCACAGGTGGAAAAATTAAATGCTTTTGTGCAGAACTAAATACCATTAATTTAATTTTTAATGGATCCTGTGTGGTGTCTCCTGGCCCATGGCACCAGATCGGGTCAGGACGGGTGTGAACGCTGCTCCCTGCTATCACGGAGAAGGAAGCAAGAAACCTGCATGGTGAAGAGGTAAAAGGAGAGCCTGTGAGTGCTTGAGAACCCGTGCTGAGTGAGTTTAGCCATCTCCTGTGTGTTTATTTTCCTTAGTTTTGCCCTGCGTACTCTTTGAGTTGTGAAAGGCGGCCTTGGAGGTTTATCGTGAGGTCATTGAGGTGCTCGGTAAAGTCTGGGAAGGTTTTTATGCCTCCCTGAGTATCCAATAAATACCAAGGATCACTAGCTGCCATCCCCGTGACATGCCCCAGCGGAGCCGGTTCCACACTGTGCCGCTTGTGAGAGCTGCGGGAGGTGGCCTGGCTGCGAGCTAAAATAACCTCAGCATGTTTATTTTAGTTTTTAACTTGTTTAGAGTGGCTACGGTTATGCCCTGGTTTTAAAAGTAATTGTTTAGGTCAGTAACAGCAGCTCTTTGCTAAGACAAGGGCTGGAGATATCACATAGCCACAAAAAAAGGGTGAAAACTGGCAGAAATCAGCCCTGGGAAAAGGGTTTGATAAACTTTAGCATGTTTTGGGGGAATTTCACCCTGTGAAGTTGGTCTGGGGCGCTGGATGGGGCATACAGGTCCGGCCTGGTGCGAGGCTGAAAAAGAGGGGCTGAAATAAGATGGTGGGGGTTGAGGGGGGGCGGTGGTGGGGAAGCATCTGTGAG